TGGGTCAGACTTTGAAGGGTTAAATTATTAATATTCCCACAACATATAGTAAGTTTTAAAACTTTAGATATATCATAATAATCAAATCAACCCCTGGTGTCTCTTCTCAGATAACAGGGAATTTGGGCTTCAGTGCTCTTTTAAACATGTTTTTTTTAGAGAAGCTACACTGATTTCTCCCACTAGTCTCCTCTTAATGAGCAGTTTTACAACTAAACACCTCATCAGGATGCATGCGGCTAGCAGTTAGCATCTTTATTTAGCACAAAGAGGGTGAGGAGCTTATAAACGGCAGATTACGAGCTAAAGCACCTCCATTTTTACCACTAAACTTGTTTTATTTTCGAACAGAGAGATCGGGCAAAGAGTCTCGACCATTGAAAACACTTTAAATACTGAGAACAAACAACCATAATTCCAAAAAGTGCCTTTTAAAATAGAAACTCGCATCTCTCTGGATGGTTCTGTCACGCGTTTGTAAAGAAGACAAAGTCTCCATGGATTTTATGGATAAAACTCAGTGGTGTCCAGGACAGAAATGTGTTTGTTGCTGCCTGAAGGCCCAAAGATCACAGACACACACTCAAACTCTTAGAAATACAGTGGGGGAAATAAGTATTGGACCCCTTGCTGATTTTTCAGGTTTGCCCACTTACAAAGAATGCTTATTTTTCCTCATCAGATGGTTCAGATCATTTTTTATAAATTCATATGATGTGATTTTCTGGAATTTTCTTTGGGATTCTGTCTTTCACTGTTAGAATGTACATATGATTAAAGTTATAGATCGTTGCATTCTTTGTAAGTGGGCAAACCTGCTAAATCAGCAAGGGCTCAAATACTTATTTCCCCCACTGTAGTTTGGTTTTGGGTCATTCTTCAGTTTCACAATGAATAACTTCCCTCTGTAGTTGCTCTATGTTTTGCAGGCAGATTAGTGAACGTTTGCCCATCCATCCATTATTATAACCTCTTATTCCCTAATATGGTCATGGAGGGGCGGAGCCTATCCCAGTAGCCAATGGGGAGAGGCGGGGTCACCCTGTCCATCACAGGGACACACAGAGACACACAAGGACCAACAACCACACACACTCACACTAAGGGCGGTTTGGAGTCCAACAACCTAACATGCAGGTTTTTGGAGGGTGGGAGGAAGCCGGAGAACCCGGAGAGAACCCACAGACACAGGAGAACATGCAGACCCACCCAGAAAGGTTCTGGTTCCCCCGGGACTCCAACCCAGAACCCTCTGGTCCTGGTTCCCCCGGGACTCCAACCCAGAACCCTCTGGTCCTGGTTCCCCCGGGACTCCAACCCAGAACCCTCTGGTCCTGGTTCCCCCGGGACT